CCCTGTCCGCTAATTGGGCCATATCCCTCAAATATTGTGTATCTAATTTCTTTCGAATGGAGTAATTTAGGCCACCAGCAACCATTTCGACTAACTCGTGTTCAGGAACTACTGTGAAACATCTAGACTTCAAGAGTCTGAACCTATTCAGATAATCATCTATGGGTTCAGTAAACTTCCTCTTGACACTGGCTAGCTCTTTCAGACTTATTTTAGATTGTCCCATGTAGAATTGTTCATGAAATAATCTCTCCAAAAGAGTCCAAGTATCTATGGATCCAGGAGGCAATGTGGTGAACCATGTGAAAGCGTTCTTAGTTAGGGAACTTGGGAAATATTTAATCCTAAGGTTCTCATTATTTACCATGTCTCCTGCTTCGGTCAGATACCTGGCTATGTGTTCGACTGTTGACTCATTGGTGTCTCCAGCGAACTTTGTAAATTTAGGGACCTTATATCCCCTTGGTAAATCAGTGTGCATCACATAATCTACTATGGGAGAGGAATAGTTTGGCCTTCTAATTCCTGTATTGAGACCGTTTTGAGCCATAATCCTTTCTATCATGGTGGTTAAATTATTTTCTGCCAAGATGTTGTCATTTCGAATTCTATGAACGACTTCATCAGCATCTTGGTGTCGACCCACCATGACAACTCCTCTAGGTTGTTCCTCTCGAAACTCTGGGACTTCTAACCTTTCGACCCTTGCCCCTGGTTCTATAACTCCCCTTTGTGGTTCCTCTCGAATCACTGGGGCTTCTTGTCTTTGTGCCCTTGCCCCCAAGTTAACCCCCTCTCTGGCTGGTCTATAGGGTGGGTCATCAGCAATTTGTTCTATGATGGGTATGTTTGCTCGAACCAACGCCTGATTCTGCCTACGCCTTTCTGGCGGAGCGAAAAAATCTGCTATTCGACTCATGTTGTCCGTGTTTTCTATGTTGGTTACAGTTACATTTTGTACTATTAGGGCAAAGATTTATTGCATAGTCTGCGCTAACACTCCTATAATATTATGGTTACTATCATCCATTAATTGTCTAAAAGCCATCTGATTTTATGTGGTTAAGATAGGCAGTGTATTATTACCTATTGAACCTTGGGTATTTGTCATAAATTGGTTGGCCCCAGATCCAGACCCAAATTGTGGTGACGAATTTGATGTGGAATTATGCAAACCCGCCATAAAAGATGTTGGCATCCCATAAGAGGGGTTTCTGAGTCTATTGCCATCGAAACCGGGTGGTCTAGTTGGTGGTGGGGTGGCAAAATGGGTTTGTGTCCCTGATAGTGGGACAAATCCCGCGAGATAACCAGTGGTCCCTGTATTTCCTAGGGTCGAACTGTTGGTTGTCGTACCACTTGCTCCATTTGTAGCCACACTACTGGTAGAAGATGCAACGGACTGTGCGTTCGTAGGGATCGCGTTAGACGTCCCCGTCGAAACAGACGTATTGGTGCCTGTTCCATGTGGGGCATTTTGTTCCCCTTGTTGATTTCCTGGATTAGACATCCTACTACTACGTTTTCTTCTGAGTAAGGGTTGGTTACTATTAATTGTTTTACCACTTCTAAGGTTCATATAACAGCGAAATTGATACTCATAAAAGAAATTACACAGTGAGATTATATCCTAGGACTCTTTACTTTATACTTTCTTAACAACAAGTCCCACCGGGTGTGCCAATTTGTTCACAGTGATTTCTGGTAAACAACCGCTAGTCTTCCAAACTATCGAATAAACTTAATTACTTTTATTCAATTTCTCTAGTAACTTGCAGGATCGACTAGATTGATCCTATGGGACATAGTTGTTTAGCTAAATTTAATTGTAAAACTGGTATTCATATTTAGGACTTCTAATTAAAGTGTTTCAAAGACATCCAATCCACTTCGATTACTATACTAAATGATTCGAAGGATAATTTCTATATGATATAAGGAATGTTCACTAGAAAAGTAAAAAGACTTGAGATTGGCAGGGTTAAGTGAGAGAATGTAAAAGTTGCTGAATGTTTAAAGGATTCGAACATAAGAAAAGCGTTTAGATGCAGAAAGAAATAAATGACTCTGAATGTAAAGGCTTTAATGTAAAGGCATGAACGTAAAAATGTTTGAAGTACAAATGAAATGGAAATGAAGACAAAACTGGAAAATATAAAGAGTTTTCATTGAATTGTAAATGTTGGTGTTATCATACGTACATCTTTCGAGCATTCGTTTCCCTATCCATGCGGTATTTTGAATGTTTACTGAATTTGTACTACAGATATCACACACTGAAATCCTAACACTAAGACCTCTATTTATACTATTTCGACCATAACAGTCTTGCTATCAGAATCTGCCACGTTCGAAGCATGCAGAGCATTACTTCCCTCTAGCCTCCACGCGTCCTCGAACGCTCCAATGCTTATGTATTTGAATTTCAAATATCCCGCTCACGTTTGAATTTCAAACGCCTTGGAACCTTCGTTTCGAATTCGTTTCAAAGGTTATTTTCGAAAACAACCTTCACAAATATAATCTCATCATTATTTCGAAAATTCTTTAGACTTACACTCCACAACTATCATTTGAAACCTTGAGCTTTAATATTTTCATTCGAAAAACAGTCTCTTCCATTCCAAACCATAAAACTTGCTTTATTCAAACAAAGCCCAATCATTTCATTTCGAAATACAATATCAAAATCTTCAGCCAACAGAGTGCTACACAAAATATAATAAACCTGTGAAAATTAGAAAATATAAAATAAAGTTGCAAAAGGCAGGGATCGAACCCATGCCCTCAGAGACTACTGCCTTAACATGCATGCGCCTTACCACTGGGGTGACTGTTTCATATGGTATTACAATGAAATCAGTTAAATATAAAATAAAACCAAATGACAGGGCCGGAGAGGCACCGGAGCCTTAGCACCGGTCGTCTTCTCCGGCGATCTCGTTTCTTCATCCTGCAAAACAGCAATTGTTAGTGATCCAAAGGGACCATACCCCTAATTTGACTCTTGTGAATTCAACGGTGGCCTTGGTTTTCACTAATTCTTCCTGCATAATGAGATATGAACAAAATAACATAAATCAGTTCAAACATGGCAAGCCCTCATCTAGGAATTATGGGACTCATGGGATGACTTAGACTTGTACTAATACACCTCTGAAACACATTAGCATGGTTAGTATGCATCAAAGCAACATAAAAATCAGAATGCAAATTTAAAAAATATGAGAAATCGGCCATGCTTAGGGTGCTTATTTTATGCACTTTTGATCACCAAGAACGATTCATACTTACTCTATGAGACCTCTGGAATTGATTGGGACGGCTAGCTTGCTTTGAGAAAGGCTAAAAATAGGGTTTGAAGTTTGCCCTAGTTTGACAAATTTTTGAGATCTGGAAGGTTTTTTTCTTGCAAGGTTTTGTGTCCCCTCTTGTCTTAAGATAAAGGATATTTATAAGAGAAAATTAGGTCAACAAAGACGGGCTTGGACCTTGTATGAAAACTTTGATTTTTATTTAATTTAATTTTGAATTTAAATGAATAAAATCAAAATAAATGAAATGAAAAAATTAAAGGGGTATGAATAGATTTAGTGGTTCACTATGAGTTCTAAAATACGTTTGGACCTTGAAAGATAAGCCTATTAGCCCAAAAATTCAAGTTTGATCAGTTTGAGTTTCATGCATTTTCTCAAAATTGTCCAACTTGCACTAATCATAACTCTCTCAATTTTTATCATATGAAGGTGATATTGGACTTTTTAGAAGGCTCGAGATATCCCTTACAATCTCTATGTTGATCATTTTTTCGTTTCAAGAATTTATCTTGATGTAAATTTCTGACAAAAAGTGTCTTTTGTTGACTTTTGAAATGACCTATAATTTTCTGGCCCATATCTCTCAAATGAAACTTTTTTTGGACTTAAGCTTAGAGAGACAAAGTTGTAGATAATTGAACTTCCTTCAAAATGAGTTTGGTTAAGAATTTTCTAATGAAGTATGTGAAAGTTATGCTTGGTCAAAGTTCAGTTGACTTCTCCTAAAGAAAACCCTAATTTAGTAACTTTTGACTTTTGATCAATCTTAAGTTTTCTTGATGAATCATGATCAACTCTTGATCAAATGATGAATGTGACTTCAAAATATTTATGTTGACCAAAAATCTTAAAGTTTAACTGTATGTTGATCACAGTTGACTTTTTGTCCAATACAGTTGATTTTCAATCATCTGAGCAATTGACTGAGCAAACTTGTGATGCAAGGCTTGAAACTTGTCATGAGGGTACCTTGAGGCATATGAGATACCATGAAATCCACTTGAGACATTATAAGCTCAATTTTTCTTGAGATAAGTGAAACCCTAGTTGTAGGTTAACTGCTTAGGAGGAGGGTTTGTATGATCAATCCTTGAGCATGTCTTGAATAATGGGAACCCTAGGAGCGTGAGGAGGTATATTGAAGAATGGGAGGGAAAATTTTCGAGTCCAACACCCCCCTTACCTAAATTTTATAGAAATGGTTGCAACTTTTGATAATGGTGCTCTCTCCCTTATTTCTCCCAAGCTCCTTAAGGTTTTATCTCCCTTTTTGCCTTTTTTTTCTCAAAAGTCATGTACTGAGTTTTTAGCTCCCCTCACTTTTCTATTTAAACCAAATAAAACCTAATATTTTATTTATGTTATTTATCCTACAATTCCCCCTCAACAATTGGTAATTCACTTCTTACCCCGCCGACTCCTTTAAACTGCTATTTTCCTTCCAATTCTCATATTTCTCCTATTTTCTTTACTAATTTAATTATAAAACTCCAATTAATTCCCACAAATCCAAATAAAGCACATAAAAAATTCTAACACCAAAATAAAATATCAAAAATAATTTTAACTTGATTAAAATAAATAAACAGAATTTGGGGTGTTACATCATCAAGTGTAGTTTCTTCTGCATAATTGCATCACCAACATTGGAGGCAAACAGCATAACCCATAAAATATCAACACTTATCTCAAGGTCATTGAGTTGGAGAACCTGTAGATAAAAGTAAAGGAGTACACACTTTCTCAATAGTTGATAGCCAAAGCTCATGGTAAGTATAAATCATGAAAAAAGTATAAGTTTCTTGGGATACAAAAAAGATCTCCTCATCCTCATTAAATAAATTAAACTTCCGTGAAGCATCACCAACTATAATGGCACTCTTGATAAACAAAAGCAACTTAAGAAAGATATGACACCAACAAAATGTCTTTGGATAATACTAGAAGGGTCAATGTATCCATAAAACCATAGCCAAGCAAAGAAATGAGTTCACCTTTTACCCTAGAATTTTTTGTGTTTAATGCGATAACAGCTTCTCTAGGAAGATAGAGGAAAATTCAGTCCCTATTTGGAATTTGATCAAACATCTTGATCGCACTATACAAGTGATTCATTTGACAAAATATGTTAAAGATATCAGTCCTATGAACAGAACAAATGTAAGCAAACAAAGCACAACTCGAAACATGGAGTTTTATCTATAAGGCATACATGGTAAAAATGATAGTTGTGGTTGAAGGTGACCATGAGAGTGGTCCTATATCAAAATGTTTATGGCCAATCAACCCATCCACAACACAAGGGAAAACAACATCATAGAGACAAGGGAATGATGACACAAACTCACCAAATGGTGAAATCAACATCGTTGTGAAAATCTCTACAGTTGCAATGAGGCTTGATGATAAGAATAGTTACTGCAATTTCTACACTGGTCAGAGATGCCACCAGAGCCGGCAGTTGAATTTGTGTCTGCTTCATAATGGGTGACCTTTTAAAAACTCTTTGGTCAGAAACAACAATTATTTGATCTGCAACAAAATCTTCAGGAAAGGAAGTTTTTTTGATGAATTTCATTGAATCCAGATCCCACTCCTACTCTTCTTCGACTGGTAAAATTTCTCTCCATATAGGTTTAAAATCCTAGAGAAACACTATGGTGAATGTGTCCAAAGTTGTTGGTGGTTGACATTGAGGCCGTCGTAGCCACCAGTAGAAAGCACGACCATACAATTTCGTCATAGCTTTGACAACTTCATTGTATCAGGTTTCTTTGTTCTTTAAAAATTTTCTCAATACATAGCAACCACTAGTAAGAATCTTATTCTCAATCAAACACTGAAATCACCATCTAATCTAATTTGCATAGATCGATCGTTCGCTCGTAAAAACTATTTTACAGTCTGTTAGTTTGGGTCTTGACCTTAGATAACACACACACACACACACACACACACACACACACACACACACACACACACACACACACACACACACACACACACACACACACACACACACACACACACACACACACACACACACACACACACACACACACACACACACACACACACACACACACACACACACACACACACACACACACACACACACACACACACACACACACACACACACACACACACACACACACACACACACACACACACACACACACACACACACACACACACACACACACACACACACACACACACACACACACACACACACACACACACACACACACACACACACACACACACACACACACACACACACACACACACACACACACACACACACACACACACACACACACACACACACACACACACACACACACACACACACACACACACACACACACACACACACACACACACACACACACACACACACACACACACACACACACACACACACACACACACACACACACACACACACACACACACACACACACACACACACACACACACACACACACACACACACACACACACACACACACACACACACACACACACACACACACACACACACACACACACACACACACACACACACACACACACACACACACACACACACACACACACACACACACACACACACACACACACACACACACACACACACACACACACACACACACACACACACACACACACACACACACACACACACACACACACACACACACACACACACACACACACACACACACACACACACACACACACACACACACACACACACACACACACACACACACACACACACACACACACACACACACACACACACACACACACACACACACACACACACACACACACACACACACACACACACACACACACACACACACACACACACACACACACACACACACACACACACACACACACACACACACACACACACACACACACACACACACACACACACACACACACACACACACACACACACACACACACACACACACACACACACACACACACACACACACACACACACACACACACACACACACACACACACACACACACACACACACACACACACACACACACACACACACACACACACACACACACACACACACACACACACACACACACACACACACACACACACACACACACACACACACACACACACACACACACACACACACACACACACACACACACACACACACACACACACACACACACACACACACACACACACACACACACACACACACACACACACACACACACACACACACACACACACACACACACACACACACACACACACACACACACACACACACACACACACACACACACACACACACACACACACACACACACACACACACACACACACACACACACACACACACACACACACACACACACACACACACACACACACACACACACACACACACACACACACACACACACACACACACACACACACACACACACACACACACACACACACACACACACACACACACACACACACACACACACACACACACACACACACTTGTTTGGTTATTTCATTTGATTTTTAACAAGAAAAGTGAAATAGATATACAAGGTACTCATCATCTTCAACCTCTCGCTCATCCATCGACAACTACACATAATAATTTTTGTCGATCAAGGTGCGAAGCGTGTGTTGACAACGTCCTAAGTAGAAGATTGCGATCTTGTTCGGGTTGAGTAATTATGGGTTTTTCTTGAATAAAATATGAGGGTTTTGTCCTCCAAGATCATTGGGATTTGGTAGTTTTTGACAATTCTTTGCTTCATCAAATTCTGTTGTGCTTAAGGGATTGAGGAACTGTGGATTCGCTCAACAAGGTAGCTACAATCAGAGGATTTTAAAGGAAGAATTGGGGTCATCATCTTGCGATCAAATCAGCTGAGCAGAGGGTTTGAGAAATAGTTTGGGTTCTCAATAAGGTAGCTACAACGGGAGGTTTATCGAAGATTGGTGACATATTTGATTCAAATCGAATCAAGGGAAAAGGGGAGCTTAGTTTTCAATTCAACATATTGGGTTTGAATTGTGGTGACTATTTTCTATCTCTTGTATAAACTTTGTAATCATAGTAGAAACTATCCTAATTCTAAATTCTATAATTAGGGACAGACGTACCCCACGCGAGGACGACAGGGGGAACTGCCTTAACAAATCGCGTGTCGTTTTTTCTTTCTCGCTCTTTACCGTTTATTTGCAATAATCTGAAATTTTGCTTTTGTGGTTCCAATTGTTCTGATTTGTAGTGCAATAAAACAGTTACTAAAAACTATAGTAATCACTTTGATTGCTATAATTGATTTCAACACTACAAATTAAGGTAAATTGAATTTGGTAAAATTAAGCACACCAAGTATTCGATAAAAGTCCAAAAGTGTAAATTTGTGTATTTTCTTCTCAACATTTCATTGGAAGTAATTAACAATAGTTAAAGAGTATAAGTGATCAATTATAATTGAGTTAAGTGTTAATAATTCTCATTGATTCGTTTCATTCGGTTTTTCGCATATCCGGTCTTTTCAATAGAGGATTATTAAAAATCAAGGTATCTATTCAATCCCTCTTCTAGATATGTCTTATCGTCTAACAATTATTACACATGAAATATAGGCCCATTGTAAGAGAATTTAACATGTCACATAACACCAAAAATACCCCTGATAAAAAAAAGAACAAAATGGCTAAACAAAATTTTCTGTAGGAAGTTCATAATTTCTGGTACGCATGAAATTTCAGGTAAGTTGCAATTTGATCCGGAAATTTTAAAATTTGTATTTTCATACCGAAAATTTCGCACTAGTTGAAATTTTTGGTATTGTATGTACTAAGGATTTTTAAACGATTAGGATTTTACCGACAGTTTTGTATGTGCCTCAACAAACTCATGGTACCTGTCCCGAAGCCAAGACATCTGAAGGTGAGCTCCTCTGTTAGCATCAAACTGTGCTAGCAAGACTGCCTCAATGACTTGCATATCCTCTACAACTTTATGAAATGTTGTTACATGGTTAATGACAGGGGCAGTAAAGAATCTATCAGCGGTGGGAAGATGAAACAAGGAGGAGACATCATCCAAAGTGATAGTCATCTATCCAAATGGAAGATGAAACAAAGATGTCTCTGAGTGTCACCGCTTAACAAAAGCATATAGAAGGGAAGCGTCGAGCATGGTTAGTGAGCAGTCGGCGAACTCCATGAGACTAAAATCAGAAACAATACGCCTGACTTGCTCAAGCATCAGACTCAGTGGAAAGTTCTACAACTTTGAACTGTGGAATGTGACCTTCAGCGATGGACATTCCTCTAAGAAACAAAGTTAAAAACATTATCAGTAAACTTACAACATATTCCCGAACCATAATAAATAATGTGCAATTAAAAAATATAACATATATACCTCTCTCTGTCATACTCTGTATGCGACATGGTCAGCATACTCTATGAGCATAAATCGGTCACTGGATCCTCCCGAGAAGGCTCCACTTGTGTGAACAAATGTCTGTGTAGAAGCACAAGTCATAGTGTATGTATTAGTAGGAGTATCATCATAGTCAACAAGAGGTATGTGAACCACCTCATAAACAACAGGAGGTATAAGAGTCACCTCATTAGCAACCTTAGCAACAGGAACCTCTTCAGCAAGAGGTACCTCATCAGCAACTGGAACCTCCATAACAGCAGGTACCTCCACTGCAGCAGGAACCTCCCACAACAGCAGGTACCTCCACAAAAACTCTACATGCTCAGCATCGGGGTGCGCAGAACTGACTTTGCACCTGCTTAGCCATTTATTTCCGGTGCGAATCCGGTCGGAGCAACTCGTCCAACACATAATTGGGAAGACTTTGTCTCAGTAGCCTTGACCTGGATTTCTGCTCTATCGTTCAACATGTCTCCAATAGACCTATCATTTCCATCGTTCTTCACTGAAAAATGGAAGAAAGGTAAAAAATTAAAATAAGAATAATGTACCAAAAATTTTAAAATTTTCGGAATTTTTCAAAAAACTTTGAACAGCCCGAAATTTCAAAATTTCTGATAACATAACTTTAATAAAATCCATAAATTTTGAAATTTTTGGTAAAAAATACCAGAATTTCCTCAATTTTCGGTAAGTCGTCCCAAAAATTCTAAAATTTCCAAAAAAATCTTCCAGCAATTCCCACTTTTTCGATATTTATCTTACTTTTTCTAAAGAATTTTTTATATAAACTTGAAATTTCCAATATCGCCCCGTAGAATTTCCAATATGCACTAAAAATTGCCGGTATCGCCTGAAGATTTGAAATTTACTCTTAGTGTGAATAATTTTGAAAATAATGAAAACTTTGATTAGGACTATTATGGTCTTTTACTTCAAGTTGGAGGGTTCTACGTGGTAAATTAAATTCTCACATTGTTGTTACATATGTCATACATACGTGCATTATTCTCAACCATATGTTTGCTATCTAAATGTCTAACGTGTGACTCATGCGTCCCTCCTAAACTCAACAAACATTCTGTACATTCTTATCTTCAAAACAATCATGATATGATCAAAGAACTTCCTCCTCTAACATGGCCACCATAGCTCAGGCAGTAGAACAAGACCATGCTCCTCCGCACCATGCCATGTTTCTGGTCATACCATACCTTCGAGTGTACGAGGTTTTAACCATGTCTCGTGTTTGCACATCACTAAGGGATGCAGTTAACAATGATGTATTGCCATGGCTTTGTATTATTATCGAAACGCGTCTCAATTTTCGACTCACCGACGAGACTCTGTTGAAAATCACATCCAAAGCTCATACCATACCTTCGAGTGTACGAGGTTTTAACCATGTCTCGTGTTTGCACATCACTAAGGGATGCAGTTAACAATGATGTATTGCCATGGCTTTGTATTATTATCGAAACGCGTCTCAATTTTCGACTCACCGACGAGACTCTGTTGAAAATCACATCCAAAGCCAATGGTAGGCTTCAAAAACTTGCTCTCATGAACTGTATCCACATCACTGATCAAGGACTACAAAGGGTCATAGAACAAAACCCTTTCATTAAAGAGGTAACAATATCCAAAACCCATGTTTTATTATATAGGATTATTATATAGGATTGATAGTGTTGTCTCATTTGTGGTTTAATTTTATGTGAAGCTTCATATACCAGCATGCACTAGCATAACCCCTGAAGGAGTTCTAAAAGCTGTGGAAACATTGTGCCAAAGAAACAAATGCTTAACCACCTTGAGTATAAACGGCATCTACAATCTACAGAAGGAGCATCTTGACATCCTTACTTCAAATCTTAAAGAAAACCTTTCATTAGAAAACATGCAAATGCAGCAGCCTATCTACTATCATAAACGCGGCAGCGTTTCAGCATTCGAGTGTCAAGAAAATCATCGGATTATCGATTTGGAGATATGTCCCAAGTGTTCTGAAGTGAAGATGGTATATGACTGCCCAAAAATGGACTGCAAGATGAAGGAATGTACGGGGTGCATATTTTGTATTCCTAGGTGTGAAAACTGTGGTGAATGTGTTGGATCAGAAGAACCTGAAGAGTGTGCTTGTGGAGATATTATGTGCCTTGAATGTTGGTTAAAGGTTCCTAAATGCAGTTTCTGTAACAAACCATATTGTAAACAGCACACAGATTGGTGGTGTACTTCTTCTGACTCTTCATTAATGTGTAGAGTTTGTGATGAAAATTCTCATGGATATACATACACTGATGAGCTATAATGAAAAACTGACTCATGATGTATCATCATGCCAAGTTATTTTCAGTTACTGTAATTTGTTTCAAGTTTATGGCTAAAGAAAATTATTGTTGATCATTGTGTCTGCATTCATGAATTTATTTAATCATTTGACTAAGGTATATATGAAAACTTTTAATGGCTAAAGATTTCTCTGACTATAATATTATTTGTCACAACATTATGAATGAAAGTGACTACAACAAATTTGTATCTATATCCCCACCATTAAAGGAGAAAAAAGATGATTGTGAAAAGTAAGGAAAGTAATCAATATGGTTTATACAGAAGAGAAATGCTTAACCATTTACAAGTGGTTCACTGATTTCAAGCAATTCATTTTTGAGACTAGTGAAAACAACAGAATCTGTTTCTAGGGGCTTGAACTTGATTAGAGCCGAAGGTACCAACTCTTCTTCCTCTATTGTTTTGGCTTTTTGCCCTGCTTTTGGAAAACATGGGATAACTCGCCGTAGAACGACTACAGGATGCATTAGCTCGAATTCCAAACCTTGTTCTTTTAATGCAGAGCTGACAAACTGCATTATCAACATGGAAAACAAGAACTTTTATCAAAGATCTATTGCATAATATGAAAAACTAATCTCAACTATTTTTTCGAAAAATTCCTTAAAACCAAATAGCAAAGGACAAACCTCATACAAAGCAGTAGTTGGTTCCCATGGAGCAAATACGCCTTGAAGTACAATTCCATCTGGAAACTGAATCCTAATAATAGTTCTTGTGTATCGCCTCTTCGCAGCTTTAGCTTGTTTTTCTTTAAGGGACTTGGGGATTAAAAGCTGAGACTCTTCAAACTTTTTTCTCCTTAATTCAGCATCTCTTCTCACCTCATCAGCTGATCGTTTGTAGAAAGAATCCGGTAGCTCAATTTTAGCTGCAACGCTTTCAGAGACAGCAAAGAAGACCTTTACCTGTAAGTGGTATTTTTAAATCAGAAACCGTATACATGTTCAATCTAAAGAATAAGTTAATTTCAAAAAAAATTAAAGTCAGTTTGTCAATCACGGATCACAGAACCTAGTCGTTTGATCAAATTCCACTACCTAATAGCGCTATAGCCGCTATTTTACAACATTTATACTAAATAGCATATCACATTCAGTAAAAACTTGTTCATATTCCGCTATATCGTAGCCTCTATTTAACAACATCTTGAAAATTAATAAAGTGCCAAACTAATGAAAAAACCAATGACATGCATGCTCTGCAGTATACTAACTAGAGCATTGAACTGAAATACTAAAAGAAAAAGGAGACTCTATCAAAGAAATATTCTCTCATATAATCATATGGCAATGGTCACAAACTGCTTCTGCAGCAGATTGTTAGAAGGCCACTAACTGGTCAGTTTTTGTGGCAGTTAAGTTTTTATGTGGCAACAGCCAGCAGTTATTATGTTGTGGCAGTATTGTTAGTATATTATATTAGGCAACAGCCAGCAGTTATTATGTTGTAGGCAGCAGTTATTATGTTGTAGGCAGCAGTTATGTGATTAGCATGGCAGTTATTTTATTACACAGATATTCAATAAATACAAAAACTGAAAGGAAAAATCAGGAGGCATTTATTTTGGGACTGGATATTAACCGGGAGAGACCAAGCTCTCTAATTCTTGAAAAGGAGAGACCCAAGAAACTCATTTATAGTATTACTATAATTTGTATTTCTGTACCAGTTTCTATCACGGGTCTATATGTCATACATTAACAAAGTATACATTAACAAAGAATACAAAAAATAGAAAACATTAATTGAATATCTTAAAAGAATTGAGTGTACACATTTCAAAGGAATATTTCTACAAATAGGACCATTAACTTGGGCCCTTGGGGAACATTTCTACAAATAGACCATTAACTTGTGCCCTTGGGGAACATTTTAGCATTAGCCTTGTTTGAATATAGTTTTATCTTACATTTCTACTTTTATGCAAGATTTTGTTGTTGTATTAGGATGAGTTTCTCTTAAGATGTAAATATGCATACTTGGGTGCCACCACAATAGCTTCTCCAACATAGTAGTTTTGCTTGCTTAAACCTTATCTATTTAACTAACAAGAAGTTCTTAATCAGACTCTTGATATTTTTTATGCTGTCTGCGTCTTCTACTTATAACCAAGCATTACACCCAGATTAAAACCAACATAATGACCACCCTAGTTATCATCCTTACAAAAGTGTGACAAAGTCTATCGACAATTTTCAGTTTATCTATCTAACCATATATAATTACTACCCTGCACAACCCACGGTATACCTTTCCCTTTTGCTTACACACCCAAATTAAAGACAAATATTAAAGGATATAATAAAAGTAAAACAGATATTTTAAGGCCTCAATTAAAATAATGACAAAATTACAATTAAAGACAAATATTAAAGGATATAATAAAAGTAAAACAGATATTTTAAGGCCTCAATTAAAATAATGACAAAATTACAGTTCCAGGCTAAACCAAATAGGATAGATTAGCTAATTATGTTGCATGCTCTCAATCATTTTTCATAGCCCAACTGTCCAGGTAGTACATGTAGTGCATTATTTTGTTATACACTGCATGCTACTCAAATTAAAACTAGACAATGTCATTCTAGATACTCAACAATTAAAACTGGATGCAATCCCGCGTTGAGGTTTTAGAGTGCAGTTCTGAAGGGTTGCTTTCAATGCAGCAAATTCTGTATAAGAATATTGAATAAGAGCAAAGGGAGCGCTTCTAAACGCAGAGACAGTAAGTAGCCATGGTGGAAACGGCGCACGAAATTTCTGTACACACAAATCTGAACAGCATAAAGCAAGTGTATCACGAAAGGCATGCAGCAGCTATTATGTTTTAAGCAGCAGCTATGTTATTAGCATAGCATTTATTTTATAGGCAGATTCTCAATAAATAGGAAAACTCACCAGGCATTTATTTTGGGACAGGATATTGATTAGGAGAGGTCAAACTCTCTGATTCCTGAAAGGGAGAGACTCAAGGCTCTCTGATTTCTAATTCACCCATTTTAAAGCCAAATATTCTAGCCCTAGTCTCAAACTGTGGAAAAGTAGTGACCAAGTCCATCACAAATTTTAAGTACGTCTATGCAAAAGAACTTGGACTTCATTTTTCTTTTATAATTTCACATCCAAAAGAAAATATCAAGTGTATAATAGAACAGTTATTTTAAGGCCTCACCTAAAATAATGATCATATTACAGTTACGCGCTAAACCAAATAGGATAGATTAGCTAATAATGTTGCATGCTCTCAACGGAATCAAATTTCATAGCTCAACTGTTCAGGTAGTATAGTACACATAGTCCATTATTTTGTTATCCATTGCATTCTACTGAAATTAAAACTAGACAAGTCATTCTAGATATTCAACAATTTAGTTGCATTACATCTTTACAAGTAGTGTTTTTCTAGCTAGAATATCAATTCCGAAAACACATAAGTTCCCTACAAGACCAAACAAAACACAGAGTAGAATACTCGAATACATACAAAACACATGCATTATTAAAAGCAAATATCAGAAGTATTATGAATATGAATTTTACCTGTCTATCGATCTTTTTTGGTTCGGCATCGGCTACTTTCTGAACAGAAGTTGTAGACACTGGAGGATCCTTTACGAACTGTAGTTCCAACAAGACAATCACTTTCTTAATCAACCCTATCTTCTCCTCGTTGGGAACCTCCATCACCGCCCAAGTCTCTCCATTCTCCTCCTTAAGCTCAAATCCCAAAAAGCCTAACAACTCAACCCCACCACTAACCTCAGCAACAGCCTCCTTAATCTTCGGATTACTCAACCTAATCTTCCTAAACTTAACATTCCCCGGGTCCTTCACAATATTCCCCAACAACTTCAAAACAATATCAACCGATCCGTGAGACGGGTTCCCGGAAACATAACTCCCAACACAAATCTCCAATTCAGTATGACTCTCATCAACAACTTCTTCACTCTCCACCAATTTTCCATCATCAATATTTTCAACTCTATTACTCAAACAACTTACAACATGTTCAGAAACCTCATCTTCAGATCTAAAGGGAGTATTACAAATCGGACATTCATATACGTTGACTGTATAACCGTTTCGAGATCTCTGAGATGAAGTAACCAAAGAATCAAACGGATCAAATCCATCTCCAGGTTTACGAGCTTTTTCGGTTCTGCTATCATCGGAAGCAACAGGTAGAGTAGGTCCGGGTTTGGGTTTGGGTTCGGGTTTGGGTTTAGGGTTAGAAATAGGATTGGGATTCTGAGAAGGAGAAGGACGAGGGGTAGAAATGGAATTTGGCGGTGTAGATGATGACGATGATGATGATGATGAGCCTAGGGTTCTACCTTGGCCTTTGAATTTGCCAGAGGATGAAGATGAGAAAGGGTTATTGACTTTCTTCATGAAGCCTTTCATTTTGTCTTTTACGTCGTCCATTTTTGTGCTATGAGGTAAAAACCCTAACTCTGTGGAGAAGGAGAATATGGTTGATATATATAGATGATTGTGTTTGTGATTGGTGTGAGGAACTTAGGGGGTAAGGAACGTGAAAGAGAGGGAAATGGAGAATGTTTAGAAGCTGAGAGAAAGATGAGATTGACTTCATGAAGTGAAATGTGGGTCAGCCAATAAGGTTATGACACGTCGTCGAATACTGGAAATTGGGATCTGGATTTCGTCAAATTGAAGAGTCATTATACTTTCGAAATCAATTTTGATATGTTAAAAAATTTAGACTCTCAAATTTTAATCGCATGGCCAGAAATTTATTGACCACAATAATGTATGCAATTATGATTCAGCAATGATAATGTCCAGAAGAAAATAGTTCACCAAAAATCACGAATATTGTTTTTATGTTTCCTTTTTTAAATAAAAATAACTTAATTAAAGATTTTTTCCAAAGCTCCAACCTCTTTTATTTAAAAACAGAAAAAACTCATTCGAAAATATATATTAAAATAAATCAATTTCTTTTTTTAAACAAAATAATCTAATTAAAATCTCAAAAATGAGGTTAATTGTTATAAATTAAATTGTTGGGTTTATTGTCCTTTCGGTCCGATCCAACATTAGAAAATTTGTTTGTAGTGTCTAGTTAAAATGTGAGTCTCTACGTCTCTCTTTCCTTATTCAAATGAGAAAATCTAATTTTTCTAAACCGCAAACTATATTCCTTCATCTTCTTCACCAACCCTCTGATGGTATTTCTAAGAATTATGGTGTCGTTTCTCTGCATGAGCTTAATTCAGATAAGATGTATCATTTATATCCTTTTGCATGTACTCTTTGCTCTCCCCGTTATGATGATTTTCCTTCTGATTATTATTTTTCCCCAAAGTGTTAGTGTTTTCCTTCTGCTCCTGAGTATTAATGTTGTTTCCTTGTGGCTTCTGCAGGTCCTTCAGAGCAACTCCCTTAGTCATCTGATTGTCGGTGTTCGTATTCTCTTTTATGGTCGATCTATAGTTCCTTCTCAGCTCATTAGAAGTTATGTTATTATTGTGATCTCTCTGGTTCCCTCCCTTCTTCTGCTCCACATGAAGCTTTTTCCCCTTGTAACTGTTTCGTACTTTGTTGTTCTCGTTGCTAACACAGAAAACATGGTCTTTTCCATCTCCTTTATGACGGTAGTCGCGTTGGAGTTGGACTCCGATACTTTCCGGATATCCGAAGCCCTATAGTATGATGCATTGTGTTGTTAACTCCTTGATTGTGGTTTTAGTACTTGGGATTCTTACTGTTTTACCCATTGTTATTATGCAGGTGGTCAATGGCCTTTTTCTTCCCCTTATTCTTAGTTTGGATGGTGTGATCCTTCTGCACGACTTTCTTTTTATCTTTTATCAGACTCTTGACATGTGTTATGTGTAACCCTTTGGTTTTCCCCCTTGTTGCAGGTTGGTTGTCAATGTTGTTGTCGTCTCTAACCGTCTCCGTATGTCCCTCCATATCCTTCTTGTTTTCTTTACTGCTCTTTTTACTCCTTTAATGTTGATTTTTCTTGTTATATCTAGTGTTATTTTCAGTTTGCAACATCTTCTTGGCTTGAGATATGGATAGGTAGATGTTGTTATTGAGTATAGCTTGGGTGATAGCTTTTTCCACAGGCAAATCCTTATGTTCAAAAATGATTTTGTTTCTGGTAGTCCATATAATGTCAATAAGGTTGATGAATAAATTTAGAGTGTCTTCATGCATCATATTGATATGATTCTTTGTCCAATCAATGAATATGTTGTTTAAATCTATATCAAATTTTAAGTTTGGCTGAGAATAAAAGCATAGTTGGCTAACCCATCTGCAACCACTGAAATAATGGTCTATTGACTCCGCCTTAATGTTACATATGGGGTAAACAATATCCCTAGTAATGCCCCTTGCATTAAGGTTCTCCTTAACAGGGATAATCCGGAAGCCTCCATACAAAGAGATTTTGCCTAGGGGTAACCTTCCTATTCCAAATAGTCTTCCAAATTATATTCTCATAATTTCTATCTGAACTCCCAATCTGAGTATTATTCTTCCCGTTATAAAGGTTGTAGTATCCAGATTTCACGTCATAGTGGCCATCATTTTTAGTTATCCATCTCATCAATCCTCTTCTTCCATGTTGTGGAGGGGATGCTGAGAATAGCGTTATTGTCCTGTTGAATGAAATAGGTAGTGAGTAAGCTATTATTCCAGCACCCTTTCTCTTTGTCAATTAGCTCTCAAACTGTATTGGTACAAGGGCCTCCCGGTTTAGGAGTGTAGAGTTTAAGCCCAAACCGATTATGGATCTAGTTATCTTCCCATATGTTGACCAAGTTTCTGTTTCCAATGTACCAGCAGCCGCCTCTTTAGATAATACCAATGCTTTTATGAATGCTCCTCTAGAGGTTACTAGGTCTGCTTCCCAACTTAGCTTTGATAATATCTTCCTTAGGGTAGTATTTAGCTTTTAGTTCACTAGCCATAAGAGAATTAGGCTTCGTGTGCAACCTCTAAACCTGTTTAGCTAGAAGTGTTTTGTTAAATTCCAACATAGTTCTAAATCTGAGACCCCCTTAATTTTTGGGAGTACAAAGCTTATGCCATTTGATCCAATGATTTCTCTTTTCTCCCCACTAATAGTTATCTATTAATTTTTCCATGTTTTTACACAATCCTATGAGAAGAATCAAAGAGCTCATTATGTAAGTAGGCATAGACTATAGAACAGCCTTGATCAAAATAGCTCTCTTAGCATAGAATATCTTGTTGTCTTTATATGAGTTAATTTTATCCCTAATTCTCTCAAGGATGAAATCAAAACTGATATTTTTGGAAGTTCCTATATGGGTAGGAAGCCCCAAGTAAGTGTTTATCGTGTTCGCCGTAGGTATACCCATCACCCTTTGATACATTTCCTTGTTGCATTAAATGGTACTTCTGCTAAACATGATCTCTGATTTATTTATGTTAATCCTTTGCCCCGAGCTATTATGATAGTTGTTGATTATATTGAGGAGAGCAATTGCTTCTTTTTCCTCTGTCTTACAAAAGATAAGGCTATCATCTACAAAGAATATGTGGGTGATATTAGGTGCATTTTAGCAATTTTAATCCCATTGAAGTTGTCATTGCTCTCGGCACAAGCATTATCATTAAAGACACAATTACATCTAATATTTTTCAGAAATTTCTTAAAAGCAGAGTTCATATTTTCATATAAAAGAATATTCAAGAAATAGAAAATTACTCGTTAATCTTATCTCCAACATCAGATGGTTATCACGAAATTATCATCGGTGATAAAATATCGATAAAAATTGAGATGTATAATTTGATAAATACTACATATGTTCCTTTATATAAGAGATAACTCACTTTTTAGGTTCATTAAATAATTAATGTATCTAGTCAATATACATACCAAATACATTGATTACTCAATTAATTTAAAAAGTGAGTTGTCTCTTACATAAAGGAACGAAGTTAGTACTAAATTTATATTTTTGAAGAGAAAATCTAAACTTTTGGCAAATAAAAAAATTGAACTTTCTTTAAATAAAAGAGAGAGAGAGAGAGAAAACTAGACTTGTTACGGAAAAAATAGAAACTTAATTGCAGTTATGGTATACAGATAACAAATGTCCTAACACATATTTAAGACATGTATCTTCGTTTAACAGCACAAGGACAAGACAAAGCATACTGATATAAAACTTATCAGTCTAGAGTCATGACAAATGTTTCAACATCTTATATGACATGTCAATCAATCAAGAAACAAAACTGAACAATGCAGAATGATAATAACACAAAGATATGATTATCCAGTTTGGTGTACAACAACACCTACTCTGGGGGCTACCAAGCCAGGAAGAAAGTCCACTATATGAAGTATTAGTTCAAAGCTAAACTCCCATGTTTACAACTTCTCGCTTAATACTTACACAATGACACTTCTACTTAGGTCCTCCCTAAATATGAGAAATCGACATCCCACTTCCTAAATCACCTTAGTGATTTTTAACAGCCACAACCTCTGGTGACTGCATCAAACTACTTGAAAGACACTCATTTCAAATAAAGTTCAGCCAAGACTCTTGACTAATAAACACACTTGGATTTGCTTCAAAGCTTCATCCAAGAACAATATATAATTCATTACCTAAAGGCTTCTGAATCTGCATAAACAATTATGTCTACCATAATGCATCAAAATGATACAAAGGGTGACTTACAACACAAGAAAGTACACGACTCTCAAAACCATAATCCCTTATATTTTATTTACAAAAAATTTGTTCAAGGATTGGTTTAAAAGCCCTAGGTCTAAGTCTTCCTTTTATAATCTTCACCTGTCCATGGGCTTCGATACAACAGCATATTAGTTGCTGAAAATATGCAAAATCTTATGCATAAAAATAGAGCTCTAATCATTTGTTTCCTAATTTGTCTCCACAAATAGAAACTGATAAACCTCCTTGAAATCAGCTTGAATCTCTTCAATCTTCAATCTTCAATCTCAATGCCAAATAGGTGAGCATAATATTCTATAATATTCTGCACCTGTTAAAACTTAAATTGATCCAACAGCCCAGCCCAACATAGTCATAATGTTGAATAACTCTGCATAAAACATATTGTCCGACATGTTGCTTCTGATGATAGAATTGTAAGATTAAGATTGCGCCTAAGAGGGGGGTGAATTAGGTGGTGGTCGATTTTTGACTTATTTTATACTTTCTGGTTTTGATTTAGTGCTTTGAAAACTGTAAAGTGCAGAAAGTAAAGAGACACGGAGAATTATCCTGGTTCCTTCCACACCCCGGAAGTACGTCCAGTCCCCTTGCAAACACGCAAGAGATTTTACTATATTGTTAGAACTTTTACAAGACTCTTCCTAGTCTTATCCACTAAAGAACCTAACAAATAACCAAGAACACCCTCTTGGATTTCCAATAAGT